CGCGGATTTATTGCTTGCGAGGATGAAAATCGCATGCTGCACAGGTTTTAATTGTTATTAATGGCGAGATGTGCTCAGTGAATCCAGCAGCAGCACGAAACCATTACAAGCTGCTGCTGCTTCTTTCACAGAAAAGTCTACAAAAAGAAACAGCAGAGAACAGATGTTGAATGGAATTTTTTTTAATAAATTATGGAAATTTTTATAAAAATTAGAACAAAATTTATCATTTATATTATTGAATTTCAAAAATAAAAATAATGTTATATTGCAAAAATATCATTAAGACTTATTTTTATCACAATAAATATCATTTAATTATTTTTAGTGAAAATCTTAAATAATATGATAATAAAATGCATTGTTGTAAATTATTTCTAATACACAATTTTAAAATCTTTCAGAGCGTTTAATTAATTTTGAAGTAAATAGTGAGATCAGCAAGCTCAATTAAAAAGAAATTAAAATGCATTATTTCATTTAAAAACATCAACTACGGGGAGATTTAAATCTCTTGATAACTTTATTTTATGACGACCTGAAATTTTGGCAGCCGCTCTTTTTCATGTAATTAGCCGGCTGTGCACTTTAGCTGTTGAGATAGGCGCGGCGGCGAAGTTGGGCAAACCCGCCCGCCGCATTAACAACATCTCATCGCGTTAAATTTAGTTTGGGCGATTCCTTCCTGGGCCGGGGCCAAAGTTGGCCAGACGCTTTCGCATGTGCCGCTTGTCGAGTGGGGTGGATTTTAGAGGGGGCGGCGCCACTTCAGATATGCCACTTGCTCAATCAAATTTGCTCCACTTGCAGCTTCTCCGAATTCTGTTTCAGTCTCACTCACAATTAAATCGAGTTTTATTTTCAGCTCATAAAATGCAACATATGTTTAATTAATAAAAATTTAGAAGTTATTTCATTTTTATGGGAATTTTCTGCAACAACTTCAACTATTATTATTTTTTTTGCTTTGATTTGACGCATTTTTTTTTTTAAATAATTTTCGACGTTTAAGCCGAAGATTAATTTCATTTATCAATTTTAAGCTTTTACAAATATTTTTGTTTGAAAATTTGGAGTTTTCCCTAACATTTTTTTTTTACAGAAGTTTCATTTTGACCTTACATAAACGAATTTGTTAATTTTTAAGATTTTTAATTTTTTATGTTAAAAGTGTGGGGTTTTTTCATTTATGCTGAATTTTTGTAATTTTCTTGCTCATGAAATAGAGTCGCAAACTGTGACTAAAAACGATAGAGCCATTTGTTTTTACCTTTTTGAATAAAAAAAAATTTTTCTGCAACGAGGAAAAAGCCCGATCTCTCTTCATTTCCATAAATAATCGCAGCTGATAAATTTTTGTTATTTTTCCTTATACACGAAACATGATTATCACGTGGAGAGGGCAAAGACCAAACATGTCCGTCGTCAATTGATAAATTGAGAGCCGCATGTGCTGATTAAAGATTTCCTAATTAAATTTAATTCCCCACACTATATCAGCAAATTCGGCATTCATTTCATCGTTAAATCCAAATGAATGGAACTAAATTTTTAAATTTTCAAAATCGGTGTTTCCAAAATAAATTTTGTAATGATTTGCTGGCTTTTTATAATTTTTTAATTGCCAAAAACCATTTTAGTCTACTTTTATGTTTTTAATACAAAAATAGACATATTTAAATTTATATAATATATTACTTGAAAATACTTTAAAATGTGCAAAGTATTTTTTTTTATTATTAACTTTCATTTCAACTCTTCATCTCATACATCTTTCAAATTCACCATTTGCGAAATCGAATAACATTGGTTCTTATGACAGCTTCATCTTAGAATGATTGAATCTTTTCAATCCTAAGACATGTTGTACAAAATGAAAAATAAAAAATATTGGCGTTGGAAAAATCAAAATTGGTTCAGCGTGGGGCTGTAGTCAGGCGATCAAAGATTTGTAAAGTAGGCAACCGAAGCCAATTTTTTGAGTTTTTACAAATCTTTGATCGCCTGACTACAGCCCCACGCTGAACCAATTTTGATTTTTCCAACGCCAATATTTTTTATTTTTCATTTTGTACAACATGTCTTAGGATTGAAAAGATTCAATCATTCTAAGATGAAGCTGTCATAAGAACCAATGTTATTCGATTTCGCAAATGGTGAATTGGCATTAAATTTGGGACACATTTTGAGTTTCATTTTTGATTTTTTTTCCAAATTTACCACTTTTGATTATCTGAGGATGTTTCGCAATAAATATAAATTAAAAAATATAAAAGAAATCAGCAATCACACGGCTTTTATTTACACATTTTTTTTTTTTTTTATTCTATTTTGGGTTATTTCCATAAAATTGACCTGCAGAATAATAAAAAAATTCCTGCCAGAGCTCCCAACTTTAAATTTCAAACTTTTCGCTGCCTCTGTGGCAATTTTATTCCCGAGCTTAATATTGATTTTTTAAGACCTCGTCGCAAACTCGCGAGATCCGTTTTGATTAAAACGGCGCGGCTTGCCAGTTTTATCTGATAAATGAGAGAATCTGCAGCTGAGCATGTGTCGGCGCCGAGAAGTGTCTCTGTCGCGCTGAATAAACACGGGCCAATCAGGCCTTGTATTTTTAGCAGCAGAGAGACTCGCCGCATTATCCATCATCATTATTTGAGCGAAAGCAAGGCTCCTTTCATCGCGCCCCTGCCTCTTTATGCAACCTTCTTTACCGCTAGGCAAAAATGTTTGCATAACACCGTGTTTGCCTGCCGACGACGCCGACGACGACGACCGGCTGCCCTAAATTGTGAACGCGCCTTTTCCCTCCAAACTTTCATCTCCAGCGCCGCACTCCATCAAAGGGGAAATTTGAGCCGAGAAAAGCAAAACATCTTTTTTTAAAAAAAAAAAAAAACAAATTTACATTTCAAATACTTAAAAAAAAGTTTGAGACTCGAAATATTAGAAATTTTCTCCCAAAAACAAAATTTATTTATTGAATTATCATTTCTTATTCATTTCATTGTCACTAAAATTATTAAAATTAATTTGACTGATTTTTAAATATTTGATTTATTTTGTTTGAAGAAGTTGACACTCGAGGAGATGATCATGGAAATGAAGAGATCGGGCTTTTCCTCGTTGCAGAAAAATTGTTTTTATTCAAAAACAAATGGCTCTACCAGTTACCTGAATTTGTTAGTTTTTAAGAATTTAATTTTTTATTTAAAATGTGGTGTTTTTTCAATTTGCTGATTTTTTGTATTTTTTCTTGCTCATGAAATAGGGTCGCAGACCGTGACCGAAACTGGTAGAGCCATTTGTGCTTTTTGAGTAAAAACAATTTTTCTGCAACGAGGAAAAGCCCGATCTCTTCATTTATTTGATTTATTGCTTTGAATTTAATTAATAAATTTTACTTTTTACTTTTCAAAATATTCCACTGTAATGAATAATTTTAACCATAAAAAAATCAAGACTTGTTGTTTTGAAAAGAAAATATCTGCGTCTCACACATTAATTTTTTGTCACTTACAAAAAGTAAATCCAAATTTTGGTGGGAAAGTGCGTGAAACGTGATCCTTTTGAGGAAAGAAAAAGGAGGCGAGCAGCTGAACAATGAAAAATTTAGGCAGCAGGTTTTTTTTTATAATATTCTTTGTTGTTTGTGCGTCACAGACAGCTCTTGTTTCCACCTCTTGAAAAGTGACAATTGATTCGGTTCATGAAACACTGTTTACATTTTGGGTCACGCTGAATGCAATATTTTTTTTTTTCTTTTAAATTTCGGCACCTCATAAATTTGCAATTTCATTTCTTTTTGAAGATTTTTGTTCCAAACTCTTGAGCCGGTTGCGCCATTTAGTTTATTATTTACGAGGCAATAAAAAGGCTCAACTCATGTAAAATGCACGGAAATCATGCGGATGTTCTTTCGGAAAAGGGGAAGAATGCATATAAATTTTTCACCAGCCACTGCTGTTGTCGAAATTTTATTTTGGAATTTCAATAATGAACTTGCGGGCTGTGCAAAAAAATGAATAGCCCAGTTTTTTGCACAAAGAGCGGCGCCGTCGAGGAGAGATTATATAAAAGGTCTTTGGTGCGGTTTCTTTCAAAGTTTGAAAGGAGCCAAGTGGCGGGGCGAGGAGGAGATTTTTCAAAGGTCGAAAGAAGAGGAAATCGATGCGCTTGCAGCAATTTCCTTTGACGCCGCCGCCGCAGCCAAGAAAGTCTCATTAACCAGCAGATTTCTGATAAAATTCTATTGATTTTGGAGGCGTGATTAGCCTTTTATTGCTTTATTTGCATATTTTGTCTGCTCGACAACAGCTTCGGCACCAAAAGGATCAACCGGCGCCCATTTGCATTTGCACCCTCACAACTTTCGCAATTAAATTCAAATCTGCCTACAACGATCTAGCAACTAAAAGACCCAGAATAGATTGAAAAGTTTTCACTTCCTAATAAACTGTTTTAGTTGAGAGCTTTGCACCGGATTAATGAAAAGAGTCGAAGCATTAATTTTTAAATTTTAATTGAATTTTTATACACCAATATTCCAATATTTTAAGTGGATTGTAAGTTTTGCTGTTATTAATTTATTATAATTTTCAAAAGACAGAATTCTGAAACAAGGCAAGAAAACCAATGATTCGGAGGGGAATTTAAAATACCAATATATAATTCAAATAAAAAATTCTCATCTACCAAAAAGAGTTACAAGATGTTGTCTTCTGATATTTAGTTTTAAAATTGTAAAATTTAAGTGGCGCTCAGTTTTTTTTATAAATTTTAATTACGTTAGTAGTAAAGATTCGAACAAATTATAAATTTTTAATACAGAATTCTTATGCAAATTAATTCCTTTTCCAGCTCAATTTCATGAACACAAAAATTTGAATTATCTCCTGAAAATTAAAAGGTTTCACAGAAGTTACGACAGTAAATTTTTCTCATGTTCACAAGAATTTTGATGTATTTTACTGAATTTTCAAATTATTTGTCTAAAGGATGGTCGCTGGAAATCACGGAGCTGCGCGGCCCGCACATGATCCAGAACGGCTCGGAGACGTCGGTGGTGCTGGACTGCGACTACGAACTGAGTGCGAGTGAAAGTGCGGGTGGACTGGTGGTCAAGTGGTTCTTCAACAACGAGCCGTCGCCCGTGTACCAGTGGATCCCGTCCAAGAAGCCGCAGGACCTGGGCGTGCTCAAGGGCAAGCTGGACCTGGCGTGGGTCGCGTCCGACCACGAGGCCAAGCGCCACCGCGCCCTCCACATCGTCCGACCCACCACCGAGCTCTCCGGCGAGTACACCTGCATGGTCTCCACCTTCGAGGACGAACGCGCCAAGAGCAAGAAACTCGTCGTCTTCGGTCAGTTGCAAATTTCATTTTTAAATCGAATTTGAAAAGTCTCTTATAAAAATTATTACATTTCACCAAAACAAGCTCCTTTCAACGCAATTCAGTTGGAGAATAATGAAACCAAATTAGCTTAACATTTAATTAAGGTGGTTTCATCAAACATTTATTTTAACTCTCGGAGCAAGCAAATTTTATGATTTCATTTTAGATTAATTTTGCCAGGCTGAATCAATTGGTGATGTTCGTTTTTGCTGATTTTTGCTAAATAGCACAGGGAAAAATTTAAATTTATTTAATATTAATTTTATTATTAATAATTCAACTCGGAACATGCAAATTATTTGAATTTTTCGGCATCTAGAATAGTTTATCCATGCTAAATCGATTGGAAATTAATTGTCATGATTAAAAATTTATTTAATTTTAATTTTATCATCAGTTTATGTTGGACTGCGCTAATTTTATTATTTTCCCATCAATCTTGAAAGAATTCGCTTTGCTGAACTGATTTTTATTTTTAACTTTATAGTTATTAAATTTATAGAACTAGATAATTTAAAAAAAAAATCTTCAAGACATGCAAAGAAAATTGTTAAAAAAAGAAATAATTTAAATTTTTGAGAATTTGCTTGAAAAAGTTTCCAAAATTAACCAAGAAATTGAGTGTTTACTTGATTTACTGAGGCACAAAAGAAAGATTGTTTGACTTGTGGCGATTGATGTGTTTTCATTTTCAGTGCCGGAGAAAAGCATCAGCCTGACGGACACAAAAAGCGAGGACGAGAAGTCGGTGGTTATCGAGTGCTTGGCGCAGGGCGTCTTCCCCGAACCCACGCTCAGACTCCTCCAGGGCTCCGAGACGGACACGTGAGTCGAGTCAATTTTTCATTTCCCTTTTCTCATATCAAGATATAATCAAAAGTAGCAGGGAGATGGAGGGCGTGAGGGTGAAGAGCGCGCTGACGAGCGAGGGCGTCTTCGACATTTCGGCCAGCAAGAGAATCGCCGACCGCGAACTGCAAAACACGCCCACCATCATCGAGTGCGAGCTCGGAATCAAAGACACGGACTACAAGCGCAAGAAGAGGATCATCTACTATCCAGGTTTGCACTTTTCATTCTTGCTCGAGTCGCTTTTTGTTCTCACTTTGTGCATAAATGGAAAGATGGAAATCAGAACACAAAAGGCCTCTAGTATTTTTTATTGCATTTTTATTTATAATCTCAAAAACTGGTGATTTTTTTCAAATGAAAAGTGAATTTAAGGCTAAAATTTTTGCTGGAAAAGTCATTTTATTATCAAAAAAAGCACATTTATTTTTTTATTGAAATTTTCAAATTATAAAATCTTAAGTTAAATAATAATATATATTTCATTAAGTTCTAAAATCGCCGACGCTACTAATTAATAAAGAAAATAAACTACATAAAAGTCATTTTTTCCCCTCTAAGATTTCAATTTTAAAATTTAAAAATTTGAGAAAATATGTATGGATTTTAAAACTAATAATTTTATTAAATATAAAAAGTTAAGATTAAAAAATCAAATTAAAAAGTCCAATTATTGTAGTTCAAGACAAATTTTCATTTGAATTTGTAAAGCTTTGTTGTCAGGATCAACTTTCAGCAAAGTAAATTGATAACAAAATTTTAATTTTTCCCCACCGGAATTGTTATTTTTTTCTGTCAGGCCTTAAATCTAGCCAGTTATCTCTCCACCCGTGATTTGAAAAATCGATAAATCTCGCACTGAGCCACGCACAACGCACAAATTAATTTCGTCAGAATTGTAAATAATTGAGCGAGTGTGACCGTCGCACGTTCATAAATCACCCTGCATACCCCTCGGACTAGCTGATTTGGACCCTTGGCTATTAATTATGCTCAGATTATTTCCCTGGTCAAAATTGTTGTCGGCGCGGCCAGACAGACTCGCAATGTCCGCACCACTTGCCATTGTCAACAGGTAACGTCACAACTAATAACACGTGTGTACGTTTGCGTCTCTCACATGGGCATGCTGACTAAATGTTTACACAACCTGCGCCTCTCGATGTTTGTTTTGTGCAGCGTGTATCGTTTCATCCCCTGTCAGGCGTTTCTAATCATAAAAAAAAATTATTTAGCAAATACCAGAGAAAAAAATGGTTTTCTGGAAATTAATTTGATTCAAATTAAAGACAAAAAAATGTTCCTGATTTTGGAAAATGACTTAAAATTTCAAAGTAATTGTGATTGTAATAAATTGCAGATATATTCGCTTTTCAATGTTGTAAGAAGTTTAACCGAGTAAATTGTAAAAAAAAATCAAGGATTTATTTCATTCAATTAGCTGGAAAGGTTTGGTCAAACTCTTTTAATGATGATAACTTTTGATTAAGATTTTGATTCTTTCGTTATCTCCAAATTTCTTCCATTTCATAATAAAAAATAAAAAAATTTGATCCTTTGGTTAACTTAATTTTGTGTTTGAAAAACGACTCTCTGGAATAAAAATTGAAAATAAATTTACCTTTAATATATTTTTACTTACAAAACCACTCTCTAAAAATTTATTGGTAAAAAAAATGCCATAAATAAAAGTTTGTTTCTGAACATTTGTAGCATAAAAAAGTAACTTGTGATTTTTTTCTCATTGTAATAAAATACCATTTAAATGAGTGGTGTTAAAATTTTAAATTTTGGTATCAATTTGAGAAAAAAAAGAAGAATTAAATGAGCGAATTTGTAAATCAAAACTCCTGTCCACCTCTGTCGTCCCCTTTTATAGCCATTATCATTTTTATCATTCTTTATTTCCACTCTATTATTCTGCTTACGTTTGCATGGAATTTTATTACACGAATTTTCAGATGGTTACACCGGTCGGCGCATCGAATTCGCCCAAGTGCAGGAAGTTTCCGCCGAGGATGATTCTGGTGAGCATTTTTCCTTAGCTCTGTTTCCGCATTTTCGTGTTGATTTTCCCTAAAAACCTGACTGATAGTTTTGGTTTGCATTCAACGGATCAATACCGTCTCACTCGAGCGTTTGCTAAACGCATGTTCACGCATTTAACGACACGTTTTGCACCCCCTGCTGATAATGTTGCTTCCTGTACACAATAATCGTAAAGGTAGCGCCGCTTTCCATAAAATACCAAACATAGCAGAGAGCCTTTAACAAGTGGATTACAAAACAAACAAAATATTTCATTTAGAACAATATAAAATTGTAACTGGACGTTTTTTTCCAATTAATTTTAATAGCTTTTATGTATTTGGCATTTTTTTTTTTAACGGGACCCACTTTTGGCATGGGGTCGGCGGATCTTGTTGAAAATTGGTAGTTTGGTTGCCCTTAGGGTGTAGACAAATAGTTTAGAAGGATTTTTGAAAATTCTCAAAATTGCCTATTTTACAGGGGCTCAAAGTTGGGGATTTTTAAAAAAGGTGTTTTCGAAAATCAAAAATATCTCAGCTCCTGCTGCAGATAGCGCATGTGTGTATAGAAACAAAGTTGTAGGAAATTAGACGCCCTACAACTTTGCCATAGTGACCAAGGTCATAGGTCAAAGTTCAGGGTCAACTTTTTAAGCTTGAATTTTTTGATGCGCCACCAAAGTACCTAGTACATAAAAATTTTTGATTCCATTATAGCCAAAAATTGCTCTAGTTGGTAGTCAACAACATATTAAAATTTGGCGAGACTGTTTTTTTCCGTTTTCGAGATATTTCAGGTCAAAAGCAGAAAAACGTGGTTTTCCGAGCATTTTCCTACACAAATCAACATTTAACCGCCCGTAACTTTTTTCCTGCTAAAGTTACGCAAAAATGTATAATGACAAAAAATGATTGCCTTGACCTGTTCTTTCAAACCATGTATCGCACATAGTGACCAGGTCACAAAAGGTCATTGACCTCGGTGACCTGTGACCTTTCCAAAAATATTTGCTGGAAATGTTTCACCTCAATGAAAAGAAACATTAGAGTATCTGAAATTCAGTTTTGCACTTGCAAGGTCACAGGTCACCGAGGTCAATGACCTTTTGTGACCTGGTCACTATGTGCGATACATGGTTTGAAAGAACAGGTCAAGGCAATCATTTTTTGTCATTATACATTTTTGCGTAACTTTAGCAGGAAAAAAGTTACGGGCGGTTAAATGTTGATTTGTGTAGGAAAATGCTCGGAAAACCACGTTTTTCTGCTTTTGACCTGAAATATCTCGAAAACGGAAAAAAACAGTCTCGCCAAATTTTAATATGTTGTTGACTACCAACTAGAGCAATTTTTGGCTATAATGGAATCAAAAATTTTTATGTACTAGGTACTTTGGTGGCGCATCAAAAAATTCAAGCTTAAAAAGTTGACCCTGAACTTTGACCTATGACCTTGGTCACTATGGCAAAGTTGTAGGGCGTCTAATTTCCTACAACTTTGTTTCTATACACACATGCGCTATCTGCAGCAGGAGCTGAGATATTTTTGATTTTCGAAAACACCTTTTTTAAAAATCCCCAACTTTGAGCCCCTGTAAAATAGGCAATTTTGAGAATTTTCAAAAATCCTTCTAAACTATTTGTCTACACCCTAAGGGCAACCAAACTACCAATTTTCAACAAGATCCGCCGACCCCATGCCAAAAGTGGGTCCCGTTAAAAAAAATAATGCCATTTTGATGTCGCTTTAAATGTTTTCTGTGTCTTTTTCTGCACCAAAGCCTGGATTTTCAAACAGGGTAAGTTGTTGTAAATTTTGATTGTATTTTTTGTTAAACTGAAAAGATAGGCCACGTGCAAGGCTCGAGTGGTGTGCGGCACAGCATAAGTGACAGGTCTGCGTCGATTTCGCTGTGATACTTTTGAAATATTCGCATTGGACACGCAGCTTTGTGTAACTTCTTTTAAAATAAACAAAGCCGGGGGTAATTTGCAGTTTGTTGGGGACGTCAACATGCACACGAGACACGGTTGTATGTCTTTGTAGTCGCCGGCCGAAAAAGCAGCAAACTCTGCCGACATTGATGCATGGCTGTGGCCTGAATGCTGCGAATTCCAAGCGCAAATCGATATTTAGGCGCTCACCCTCGCCTCAAAACGTGATCATCATCTTTTAGTTTAACAGCCGAGTTGCAAAGGCGCGTGAAAAAAACGCCCTCTTTTCGCCATCTAGCCACTAATCACTTTTTAAAGGGGAACTGAATTTGAAACTAAAAATTCGTCATAAATATAAGTCGCGCGATTTACTCCGTTTCCTGCAAAAAAACTATTTTAAGATAAAAATGAAGTACATTAGTTGATTTTTTTAATAGGTGTTCAGGAAATAATAAATTTTTTTGTTTATCTTCAATTGGGAGGAATTTTTTGCATGGATTTTTATTTTTAATTATATACCTGGGTGAAACTAAAAAGAAATTATTTCTGCTATAATTTTATTCAATTTTACTAAATCTTGTTATTTTGTAAATTAATATTTATTATCAGCTTCTAATTTATTTTCAGTAAAAATTAAAATTTTGATATATTTCACTTTAAGACAAAGTTCTGTCAAAAACAAAAGCAAGAGCAAATAGTTTAAAGAAAGAAGTGGGTTAAAAACACCGGGACCCGGTGTGATGCTGGCGCCAGTATGTTATTTTCACCGGGAAAAAAACGACCAGTTATTGCAATGCCAAAACCGACTCTCCACTACCGGTTGAGAATCGCAACCGGTACTGAAACACGGAACGATAAATACCAATAAAATTCGTTATCAATATAAGCGGCAGCAGTGTAGCGGTAACGCACCCGCTTCCAGAATATGTGTTGGCGTGTTCAAATCCACGTCTCATATTACTTTTTAAAATTTTTTTTCAAGATTTAGAACGAAACCGAAAATTTATATTCATGAAAATTCCATATTTTAATTCAAATTATGTATACGTATTCCTTTTTTTTTAATTTCACCAACAAGCATGCAGACGAAGTTGTAGGCACCCCACGATCCGGCAACTCGGAGTTGGGCAACCCCCAAGATTAATTTTTGCAGAAGCCGCGAGCGAGGGGTGGAGGCGCAGCGAGGTCGAGGACGTGGGGAAGGCCGTGCGCAGGGCGAGGACAAAAGGGCGGCTGTGTTCGTGGGGGGGCTCCGCAGGAGCCCCCCCACGATCCCCGCCCTTTTGTCCCGCCCGGAGCCGGCCTTCACCACGTTCTCGGGCGAGCGCGCCTCCAGCCCGAAGCTCGCAAACCCACTACGGAGTTGCCTACAAAAGGTGTTGTCTACCATCGGTGAAATGCGCGCACACGAAATTAAAGGGAAAAACGTTAGCGGTTCTCAATGTTGAACGGTTATCGGTATTGCATTTTGGTTAAAAACCGCCTCTACTTTTTCCCGGTGTAAATAACATATTGATAAATTTTTCCCACACCGGATCCCGGTGTTTATAACATATTGATGTCATTTTCACACCGGGTCCCGGTGTTTTTAACCCCGTTCTTAAAGAAATTAAAAATTCTGGCTTACCTTGCGACTTTTCCATTCTCGGGGCTCGTGTCAGCCCCTCCGCCACCCAGGACGACGGAAACCTGCCCTTTGCTAAGGGTGGGTTGCGTGTCCTGGCACGTCGACCCTGCGCAGTTCGAGAAGGGCAAACCTCCTGGATCCTGGGGGCGGGGGACCCCCCTCTTTCGCCCCGCTGAGCTCCTGGTTCAGGGTCAGGGCGCCTGAATGAGTGGCCCTCGGGCCGGGGTGGGTGATCAGAGCCCTTTCCCTAAATCAGGAGCCCAGGGCAGTGTTTTAAGTATTTAGTTTAGGTGAACGTGTTTAAAGTGCCTGGTGTGGATATCCGAAGTTAAGCTAGAAAATTTAATTTTTAGTTACTTGGCATATTTTCTTTATCTACACAAATACTAAATACTTCATTTTTATTTCCACCATAAAGAACTTTCTTGAAAAACGGAAAAAGCCGAGTTTCAAAATTTTTCTCATTTTGTATCAGAGTAATAAAATTTCCAAGTTGTTTTACTTGTAGATTTTTAGTACAAATTAAAATTTTGGTATTTTAATGTTGTCTTCATTTTGCTTTTGAAACATGGGGGCATTTTAAATTTTCTTTTTACTTTGTAACTTCAAGCACGTTTCTCAATATTGACGGTATAAAATTTAACAAAATAACAAAATAATTGCAGAAAAACACAAACCAAATAGATTAATTGATTACTTATTTTAAATCCCACGGAATCTTTGTTTCCAACCTATTGTTATTTATTGCTCTTTCTGTTAAACTATTTTCTGTTATCAACGCATGAAATGAATTGTAATTTAATGGCACTTAAATTTGTAAATGTGTCTCATTTTATTACCATAAATCTGACGGCGGAGATAAATATTTGGATGAATTTTTTTTGTTCAGGCGCCATGGTAGAGTAATCAATCAGGTGACGTCACAGGGAGCCAAGCAGTGGCGGTTCAAAGAAGTCGTTTTTGGCGTTGAGGGGTTGCGCTGGCGGGGCGAAAGCATCTTCAATTTCCTTCACGTCTTGTTCCTCATCACGTTATGGAAATCAATTTTTCCGCCTAATGAAATTTTAAATCACTAACGACAGCGCGCTGTCTTTGCCGCCCTCGCTCCATTGTCAACCAAATTAACGCACGCCTTTTCGCCCTCGCTTTTCGCCTAACGAAGTAAAGCGCTCAAGTCTAAAGAAAGACACAGTCAAGAGCAAAATTGCAAAGAAAGAGCGAACTCTGATTTCCAAAATGAGAATTTCTTGGAACATCGATTAAATTTTGTTGCAATTGAAGAAATATTCAAAATAACAACATTTTTATTTTTAGAAGATTTTCTTATTTCTCATTTTAATTTTATAATATTTATTAAAAATTAGGAGCTTATATTTAAATTTTTAGTAAATAAAAAGCTGTTAAAACTGTGAAATCAAAGTTATATCATAGAAATCAATCATGAATTATTCTAAGACTTGATAGGCACTGCTTTTTATTGCCGAAATCTTTAACGGGCCTAAGCGAGTTATTTTGACCTGCTTTCTTTCCTTCGATGTTATACAAATGATTTAGTTATGAGAAGGGAAAATAATGCGAAATGATAATAAAGGCGCGCGTGATGTAATCGATTAAACACCTCGCAGCTTTTGAAAAAGTGACCCGCAAGGTTAAGGTGCTCGGCGGCAGCAGCAGCGGCCGACGGACAATGATTTGTTTTGCCCGGGTTCAAGGAATTGTGAAACGAAAATCGTGATGAAGTTTATATCGCATTTTATTCGACGCCACACTTAAGGAGCAGCTCACGCGCCGCCAAATTGAATGCGATAAATCAAAAACGCTCCGCCCCGCTAAACGTTCATGTACATTCGGAGAAAAAGGCACCTTTTGAGCAAGAAAACAAAAGACCTATTGTGTCCGAAATGCAAATTGCATAAAATGTTGGCCAAATATTTGACAAATCAGATAAAAACTGTTTAAATTGGGTACTTTGTGCAAAACTGAATTTTTTTGTTTCAAATATGCTCGTTAATTTGCTTAATCAAATAATTTTTTAATTAATTACAAAATTATATAATCAGCAATAAGTTTTAATAAGAAAATTAAATAAAAATGTTATTTTTATTCTAAAATATTAATACAAATTGATGTTTCCAGATTTTTATGTTTAATCTTGGATTTATTCTGGCCTTTTATTAAGGAAAATATTTTGTATTCATTTTTATTGCAAGAAAACAAAATCAAAGTGTACAAGATGCAACTTGTACTTTCGAGTTGAAAGTGAGTGCAAATTTGCAGCGCGTGCTCAGATTAAAAGGCCCGGGGGCGATTGAAACGCGAAAACTGGGTGTAACCGCGAAGCGACGCGCACATAATTTAATGGAATATTAAAGATAATCAACGCGCTTTGACGTGTGTCTTGAGCACTTCCCCACATCCTGCGCGATTTCACGCCCGCGGAGGTGCAACTCGATCCGCGCGTGCAATATTATTATTGTAACAATTTCCAATCCATTTTTCTTTCGCTACTTTCATTTTGAAAATAAATATAAACGAGAGCAAAATAATACATGTTGCCCGAGGAGGAAAAAAACGGCCGGCGCGACGCAAAATTAATACCAAATATTTCTGCTGACAGCCTTTGTCGTTTTTCTGCGCGACGTGCCGCGAGCCACGAAATAACAACGCGCCAGTTTTAATATTCCGCTGCACAACTTGCAAAATATCTCGGTCTCGTTACAATTAGAAATAAAAAACAACAACAACAACTCGATTCCCTTGCAAAAATGGTGCAAACACAATCTTGAATTATATAAAATTTAACCATTACTTTCAATCAATAATCATAAAATGATAAAACCAACAAGATCTGGTTCTTTTTATTCAGTCATAAAATTAATTAATGAGATTAAGAAATAGAAAAGAGTTTTAGACAATTGTTCGTCCATTAAACGCAACTAGTTTCAATTAACTTCCTAAGGAGTCAAAAGATGGAGAAATTTATAAAAAAGAAGTTTCAAAACCTTTAAGTCTTTTTTCAATTCAATTTCACAGGAATTTGGTCAGGAAATTATTGTTTTAAAACAAAGTGATTTTAATTCAAATATTTATATTGAGGTTTGTATATCAGATCCAGAGGCAGTCAAGTGAAATGAACCAAAGAATTTGTAAGAAAAGCGGAAAATTAAAATAAAAAGTGAATTCTTAACATTTTATGGGTTTGAATAATGTTCTAAAAATATTCTAATCCAACTTATCATTTAATTAATTTAAGAAAAATCGTTAAAAATGCAAATTTCATCAATTCAACAATTCTTCAATCAATTATGAAATTTTATTTTTGATGGCGTTTTAAACCAAAATTTGATTGAAAAATCAAAGTAACGATATTTGTGTATTTGCTTATTTTTGTCTTGAACCTTTTGTCGATGGATTGTGATATCTAAATTTTAAACTAAAATAAAAAAATGAAAATTTTCTCAATCCTGGACTAATTTTGTAATTTTTTGTTCGCCGAAACAGGAAATTCGTCGGCGAGAAGTGCGGTCCCTGCGGTCTGGTTTGTTTTCGCCCTGGTGGCCTCCTTTGGCCTTGGCCTGCACTGAGACCCAAAGTTCAATCCCTGCGTGTGTGCTCTGGTCAATTGTGGTGGTAAGTCAGCCATTAGAGTTCCATATTTGCGAATTTAATTTTTTTTTTTTTTAATTTTATTAATAACAATTAAATTTTGAAATTATTTTTTTAAATAATATATAATGAAGAATGTTTGAAATATTACATATTAAAATTTAAAAATGAAATTATTGATAAATTTAATCCCGTCCAATGTTTCTGCTTTCTGGCTGCGTCGCAACTTGCTCATTACATTACGCTTAATTAACTCCATTTCTGCCCAATCAACTTTTATTTTGCCTTGCATATCCTTGAGAGCAAAAATGTGACCCTAACTTTTATTATATTTGTTCCCAGCTCTGAGAGTAAAAAGTTGCTCTCATTGTAACTCAATCTGGATTAATTCAGCATTTGTCATAAAGCGCGCGAGCCAATTAATCCACACTTGTCGATTTTGCGATGTATTTTCGGTGCAGAGCCCAAGGTTCGTTTCACGGGCTGTTGAAACTCGTTTACTTCTCTGCGGTCCCGCGACTGCTTTTCGAGAGCAAAAGCGGCTTTCGGACGTGCTAGATAAAAAAAAAAATATATATGCATTCGCTTCAAAGCCACACCAGATTGAGAAAGAGCAAACGAGTATCAAATTAGTTTGCCAGTGGATTCAGTTTCAAGGGAACAAAAAAATTATCTCATTACATTCACAACTTGCTTGAATTTCAAAATCAAGGCATAATACAGTTTTTACCTCTTTAAAAAAAAAACATAATCCTCAAAGATTGTATCAAATTTGTTGTATTGTTTTTAAAAAAAAATATTGCCAAAAATTTAATTTCGGAAAAGATACGTTAAAATTAGTATCAAAAGGTTGAAAAATTTTAGAAATAGAAAAAATATAAAAATTATATAAAAATTTAAAGAAAATCGTTTTTAGTCTTACATGTTTTGGATTATATCTTAAGTAATTTTGCTGTAAATAGAAATAAAACTTCTTATTTAAAATATTCTTATTATAATTATAAAATTCTTAAATAAATAAAATTTGGAATAACCTCATATTATACTTATTATTCACGTCCTATTCACAATATTAACAAGTTTTATCTAAAATTAATAATATGTTTCATGCGTTTTGATTCTGAACCTTTCTTGTTTTGTTTCAGGTGAATTGGCAAAAGTTTTTGCCAGCAAAGTTCGTGGGACGAGTCAAGTGAGACTTCTTTTTGCTTCTCAGTGGATACTAATTTCCTAATTGCGAAGTTAACACTTAATTTAATTACAACGCAGTCGTCAAAGGAAGACAAATTTAATCGAATTCGACACGCCGAGAGATCAAAGTTTGAGCAACATTGATCGCATTCTTTGTACGAATTTGGGTGTGGTAATTACTTTTGGTGATTTCAATTTTTTGATTCGATCTAGTCAACTCGGCGTAATAAGACCTTGCTGCGAATTTCTGGTCTAATGACACATACGTACGCGGCCTATTATTGATCACGATCTTAACTTGAGGGAAAGAAAAGTTTGCGTAACAATCTCGATCAGAAATTCTCTATTCACCTGTCAATTGAAAAGAATTTAATTGAGCTGCAACAAGGCTGCGCGCTTTTAATTCATACTTATTTGTGGCAAAAAGCAAGGCTAAATTTAATGAAAGGGCTTAAAAATAAACACATATTTTGATAAAAAAAATATCTTCAATTGCATTGGTCAATTGTGATTGTGTAAAAGAAAATCTTTGTGTACATATTCAAGAGCAAGTCTGTGTAGATAGCAATAGAATTATAACCATCTCATTGAATTATTCTGTAAAACCTATTTGTGGAAATATTTTATGTATCTACAAACCTATCTTTATAAGTTACCAAAGGAAATAAAACTGTTGTGTATATCTTAAATAAATAAATGAATCGTTGAAAATAAAAATTGAAAAAATACCAAAGTTTTACAAAAAATCTGAAAAAAGCCGTTTCATTTCAAATCAAATTCCAAGTTGGAAAGAAAAATTGCAAATCGGGGCGTGAAACCCATTTTCAGCGCAGGTGAAGGAGTTTGATATTATTTATGGTGTGAGTCATTAAATCACTCTCGTTGGTGTTGCAAACAGTAAAAGCTAAAAGCTCCATTTGAAATATTTATTTTCTTTACACATTAACGCCTTCGTATTCAGAAATGACTGTGACAAATGCACAGCAATTGATTGTATCTTTGCCAACTTTCAATGCGACCCTCGTCGTGACTCACAATATTCGCACAAGAATTAATTTCTGATTCAATATATATACGGACAAGCGAAAAGTTAGATTATTTTCACGCCTAATTTCAGGTTGGACACTTGTCAGGTTCAAATTATAAATATGCGCGACCTTTTGATAAATTGTTCGATTGGGCAACATTGGAATTCGCTTATCATGCGTGAATGCCCAACGATTGCAAAAATAAATTTCAGTTATTGTGAAGAAACTGACCAAGACAAATCTTCGGCAAGGCTGGAGACAAATCACTTCTTACAATTTGCATCAGAAGGGATTGACATATCGGTGGATGTTTGGCTTCAATTCCGATTATTTAATTAAGACACGTCTCGTCTCGATGAGCCAACAACTTGATTTTCAAATTTAACAAGCTCCCCTGCCTATAAACAGTCTCATGGTTTCCTTCAATCAGCCTGCTTAATTAAAATAGTCTTTAGGTAAATTAAAGAGATCAGACAAAAAATAGGCGATTCTAATTTTACTCCAAATCGCTGATATTATTTTATTTTATAAAATTAATTTAAAGAATTTGTTCAACAATGAAATCCTTTAAAATATTAAAATCAGATATTTTAAAACTTTTATTAATGATAAATCTTTAAATAAAATTTCAATTTTTTACTGCTTTATTCTTTAATTTATTGCTCATATATTTTCTGAATTATTTCTGTTTTGTGATAAGAATGTGTTCTCTGTATGGAAAATTTTCCAGAATTGAACACACGAAATCAACTTGAAGAGTTTATTATACTTGTGATAATAAGTAAATTTATTTTACTTTTTAAAATTGCAAAAATATTCCAAAAATCAACTTTCAAATGCAATATTTTGAAAAAGCTTCAAGGAGGAAGTAAAGTTTTGAAAAATGATTGATATTTTCGATAAGTATGGTCTTTTGCAGCGACTTTTACGACATGACACGTGATGTGCAAAAATTCAAATTGGCGATCTCGAGATGAAAACTGGCGCGAGGTTGTAGGAAATTGACCAGCTCGCAACCTCCCTTCAGATAACTAAAATTGGCCGCTTTTCATTTCAAATTTAGCCGAAATTTCAGCCTTTACTTTTCACCAGGCGAACCTTCCATTTATGTAGAATTTTGATTGGAGTGCGCGAAAAATTTTTCACTCCATTTATTTTCAGTTTCTTGCAATTCCTTTTTAAAATCTTGCCTACGTGGATTTTTGCACGCAAACCAGCTTTCATCCTTTGGCAAAAAAAAACTAGATCTGTTTAAAACTTGTCACAGCAGAGAACATGTTATTTTGTGACTGTGTCAGAAAAACACAGGAAAATAATATATTAAATTATTTGTCTTTGTGTTTAATGCAAATTATGTCACAAAATGTAGCAACTCAAAAAGTCTCTCATATAAAAAAAAAACGTGTTCCGCCCATAACAGAAAAAAACACGCACATGCACTTCTGGACCGGAGGCCGCTTTTTGCTCAACTGCATATTGAAATGCAGCAACCTCGTGCTGAGGCCCGGTTGCATTTTTTCTCTCTCACTCGTGATGCAACGCGGCCCTTTTATGTGTTCCTTTTCATTCTTGCACCGAGCGAGCGACGCCGACGGGGCCACACCTCGCGCTATTTCGAGACTAATGAGCCCGAATCGTGACTTTGAAATAAATAAATCGGCCACCGCGATCGTGTAAAATTAATTTCGAGCTGAGCAAATCGCTCCCGAAACCCCGTCCGAGAGTAAATTTACAAGATTTAAGGTCGTGCTACGTGCAAAATTAATTGGCCTTTCATTACGCTCGGCGGCAGCTTGAAGAGTGCGCGGCTCTCAAAAATTATTGCAACTTGTTCACAAGCGCAGAGATTGATTCGCGAAACCAACGGGCCGTAAATATGTTTACGATGTTTGGTGAATTTGGAAAGAGGCACGTGCCTTGTAAAGATACAAATTGGCTCATTTGCACCAAAATTGCTGGAAAAAACTGAACTTTTATTGAAAAGATTGTTTAAATGTTAATTTTATTAATTGATTTATTTAAAAATCACTTTCTTCCGTTTCTATATATCAAGCTCTCTTCTAATCTTGCCTTTTAATTTTAAAATCATTTCAAATAATCAACGATTTAATTCAACTTTTATATGAAAAAAGCTCCAAATTGGGAATGAGATTACAACTTTTAGCTTAGATAAAATACAAAATATACGAAACCGGGCGAACCTCGTTGCAAAGAAAAAATGAAAAAATAAATGACAACTGACCCCAAAGGCGACCTGCGGTCTGCTGGGTTTTGTCGTGTCCAACTAAAACTAAGTGGGAGGAAATTCATCAAAAAATTAAAAATAAAATAGGGAGAATTTAATTTTTAATAAACAAAACGAGGTTGGCCGGTTTCAATTTTTCATGAAAATCCACTCGAGTGTTACCATTCAATTTACAAAATATACACTTTTATTTTCTATCATAAAATGTTAACGTTTTATATAAAAAAAATAATAGTTAATTAATAAAATAAAACACTCAAAAGTAAATTGCAATGTTTTCAATAGAAATTTTTAATTTGACGCACGTTGTGTTGATTAATATAATCGGCGTGGCTCTTCTTCCCAAACGCAGACGTTGTTGCATTCACTATTGTGCGTGGCGTGCGTGGGAATCGCGAGCCGAACTCGCCCACGGCCTTGCTTCGGATCGTTGTTTACACGCTGAATGTCGAATTAGAATGTAACTACACCGCCAATTAAGCACAAGTGCACACGTGAGAAATACGATTCGATCCCGATCTATTGTTTCGCCTTCTAGGCTAGATGCAGATTAATGTTCCACTTACATTTGTGTTCCCAGACAAAAGTGAATTTGTCGATCTTAAACTGCTATAATTACAATTTATAGTCAAAGATAAAGAAATAATTAGTTCAAAAGTTTAGTTCCTTTTAATTTAAATAAAACTGCAAACTTGAGACATTGTTTAAATTGTAGTTTTTAAGAAGCAATTTTTTGTTAGGAACCAATTTAATTGAAATTAGAATTGAATAAAATTAATTAATTTTAATTTTATTGCCTAACGTTTTTTGAAATTGCTTAATTAAATGTTGACCTCCTGAATGAAGTAAAAAAGCAATAAAGATAATTTTTTTCTTGCTAGATTTATTTTCAGATCGTCTGAAGAATGCGATAATTTTCTTGTTGTCTGGTGGCAGTTCAAACAAACCATAAATTGGGCACAGCCATCGGCGGCAACTCGGGTTTGTTTAATCCGCTCGTTTTCTCATCCAATTCGTTAAGTTTGTCGCCGGCGGCTCGCGAAATACAATAAATATCAACGCGGCTCGCGACCGATCCGGAATTTTCGCAGCTCTCAATATTTTGCAAAAGTTATTAATGACGCCTTTTAAAGCTGCACTCTCGGTTGGAATAATAAATAAATAAATTCAACCTTGCGACGGGGACGAATTTATTGGAGGCGAGAGCAATTCTCAAGCGGTGTGACCCGGTGCGACCTCAACCGTGCACTTATTTTCGTTTATGGCGACGATTACACGCCGTTTCGCGCAGAGTCAGCAACACCCATTCACACCACGCGTAAAAAATATTTGCTTGCTTTTCAGTGAACAAAATCTACAAAAACAAAACATTTATATTTATTAAATTATCAATTTGTTACCTTTTTTACTTAATAATTTACTTTAATTTTGTATTTATTTGTTTGTTCAAATTAATTAATTAATATAACTCATCTTATATCAAAGATGAAAACGCAATAAATAAGAATGGAATTTAAATTTAAAGATTTCAAAATGTAATAAGTAGAGAACAGAATTTTATTATTAAAATAGTTATAAAGATATAAAATCTATTCAATTTGGCATTTAAGATTCTCCCTATTCAATCAATCAGCTTGTCTGTTCATTTTTATAGAAAATATAGATTTTTTCTGAATTTTATCCTAGAGTTTTGTGGCAAATCCAAGTCTCTGCTATCATTTGAATGATTTCTTTGATCAATTTAAAAAATTTCACATTTCTCAGTGTTTTTTATTTCAACGGCCACTTATCAAGCTGCAAAATGCACTTAGGCTGTTGTGTTTTGTCGAGGCATTGTTGAACCAACGATGCACTTTCTCTGATTCGAACGCCCATGGGCAAACGCGTGACCTGCGCGATGATAACTCTCGATTTATTAGAGCACTACTTTTTATTGTGCCAATATCATTAGACGTGTGTTCTTTTTTTTATCAAGAGCTTTGCTTGCACGCGTATGTAGAAATTAATTGTTGCAAATAAAATGCGGTTTGCAGCTTTTCTAGATCGGGAAAAGATATTATATTCTGGAGAGAAAAAAAAACAGTCGAGAGCGAGCAATGGCCGCGGGGAGGTGTAAAAAGAATCAAGATTAATCCGCTCACTGACGTAAACGTTATTTCCAACAAATGGTCAACACACGCCTTTCTTGATCTATTTAAAAGTTCAAACATGGCAAAAGTTATTTTCAGAATAACATAAAACATAATTTTTAATAAAAAGTAGAAATCTTTTAAATGAAAAATTGCACGATATTGAAATTTAAAATGATTT